GTGATTTTATTTTAGTGTTCTGTAAATTTAAATATATCAGAAAGAGATTCTGAGGGAGATAGATAGTGAAAGATAGAGAGAGAGAGTGTGTGTGCGTGCTCCGTATTCAGTTTAAAATGTTTCCAAATGAGAAACTTTTGTGTTTAGGCTTTTGTCTGTCAATCTGAGTATAAATTGCATTGCTCATATAACGACAAATATTATTTCAGTGTATATATTCCTGAATAGGCTCTGAATTAGCATTACATTAGGGAATCATCTAACTCTGAAATTAGGTACAATGTTTTAATTAGTAAAGAATGGAGTGAAGAGCATGTCAAAAATATAAATGCTCAAAAGCCCACTGTGATCCCAGTAATCCGAGTACATTTTTATGAAATCTTAACTTAGATTATTTTTAAATCATATATATAATATAGATAAACGTGAGAAAAATGACGCAAACTAATTACGAAAATAATCTGTGGCATCTTGGTTCTTTTGCTCACAAATTATGTTAAAACGTAAACAAAAATGTTTGAATATTCAAACAGAGGGGTGCTCTATGAGAAAGCGGGCTTGGGACTCACTTAACTGCTAGGGGATAACCTTTCTCAAATGCATTGATATTTTTCCCGTTTTTTGTGATCCTTTGTTTTGGGATGCGTTTCGCCACAGATTTATTGCTTCAACTGAATCTTTTAACGTTTATCTTCGAAAAAAGAGCGATTCCTTAGACCGAGACGACATTTCTTTGCATATATTCTTTGGTATTTATGGATTTGACGAAAGAATTCTTAAAGTACTCTGTGTGGTCAACATCATTGAACCTTGGCAAATAGATTTTGCGTTGCTTTGCATTAGCGTTTGAGCATGGTGATGAGTAATGGCATCCCAATGGTTTTTGCTTAGGGACGTCGTTCACGGCTTCGTCAATTATAATGAAAATGTGCGAAGTGTTGTCCATCTTGCTTTTTAAAGTGCTAAGCATTTCGTAAGGGAAGCGAAGGGAACACGATGACCATCTGAGTAACCACTACGACACTGGACACGCGTCGTAGCCATTAAATCATTTAATGCTGGTTAAGGTCAGGAACCAGTTAAGTTAAGAGATGGGCCGGCTAATGATCAAGAGGGCAGAAAAGGGTTGGTCAGTATAGTGGTCAGTTGAGCTCAATGCAGAGCACGCGAAATTCGAATTCCAAAATGCTGTCACATCTAGAATAAATTGTGTCCGTAGCCCTGAGTCTCAAAAAGATTGCCCTCCGAATCTTTAAAGAAATGTTCGTTAATTTGAGAACATGAACGGATCCAAGTTTTTCAGCAAAATGGCTGACCTCTAAGACAGAGCTCAAAAGCTAAGTAGTAAGTTGTAAACAATACTGTCAAGCATATTAGAATTGGGATAGACAAAATGTCAAGATAATTAGAATCCATGACCGCAAGTAAACTCGTTGAGCCGCCATTGCCGTACGCTTCAGCGCGGGCATTGATGTTCAAATGCAACCCCAGGACTAGAAGCAACTGTCAGGACCCATCACCTAGCGATGCTGTTGCTGTAGTTGACCAGATCTCGCAATGGACCGTCATATGCCATATTCCTCAAAGGGGTTCGCCCTTTTTATAGCTGAAATTTTCTTCGCGGCCTTTCGAAAAATTAATGCGAGTGTCCAAACCGGTTTTTCCGTGTGAGATTACATCCATTTGAATTCGTGGCCATCAGTTCGGTCCGGTTTTCAGGCAAGGAAGTCGTTGTTTTCAGCGACCCTTCAACCCTTTTGTTGTCGAAAGAGGATGCGCAAAAACAACTTAAATTGCAGCTTTCGCTCCATTGTGTTTGGCCTAGATTAGATGGGAAATACGAATCTCAAGTTTTTTTATTTCATCTTCTACGCGTAATATTTAAATAACCGTTACGAAAATTGTCCGAGGTACCTAATGCTGTTAAGCATCAACGCTTGCTGCTGACCACCGTAATGTGTCCGAATTATCCTGCCACGCGAGCAAAGGATGACCACAGTACTATAATTTGTACACCCTTGAAAAAACCTGTTACATAGCTTGACCAGTAATAACAGGCGACGCGTGCGCGTAATATCCTTTAAGAACCTTAACACGCGCTGGTCATTGGTCAAACAGCGGTTACCTGCCTCATCCCTCATTGCCCAATCCACTCCTTAGAGATAATCGGCCACTTTGAGCTGCCTTTCTGGATTGTTGTCCAAGTTGTTCGCGTGTCCTTTTTAACGAAATTAAGATCTAAGTATCATTCACAACCTCAGCAGGCATTCATGACCGAGGCAAAGTCGAGGGTCAACGAAATTGAGCAAACAAAGCATCTTCATGCAAAATTTGGCAACGAAAATATTGAAATGATCAGAGTAAGAGCTCAAACTGAAGGTCTCTATATCTATTTGCAGGGGTAAGAATTGAGGCAATAAATCTGTGGCTAAATGCTTCTCAAAACAAAGAATCACAAAAAGGAAGAAAATAGGCAAAATATCGATGCATTTGGGATAACTTATCTCTGAGGTCTTAAGTGCGTACCAAGCCCATTTCCTCATGAAGCACCCCTCTTTGAATATTCCAACATTTTTGTTTACGTTTTAGCATAAATTGTGAGCAAAGGACAAAAGGAAGGCGCAGGCAATTGTCGTAATTAGGTAAATCATTTTCATCTTTTCTTTTTCTCACGTTATACAGATATAAATAGTATGTATATAAGATATGTATAAATAGTACATATATATATAAGATAAGATACACTTTACTTATGAGATAAAATTCTCTTTACAATTGATCGATTCTGAATCACTTCATTTCCTTCCTCACTATGTAAAATATGTCATACAGTTTAATTGGTAAAGTAATCAATTCTATAATACCTATTTGTAGAAACTGCGGCAGAGACGCAAAGACAAAAGCCAAGTGGTCTCATTTGTAGCTGGAACACACTTTCTTTATTTCTGACAGAAATTCGGCTCCGATATTTGTCTGTATGTTATTATGTTTAGTCTACGTTTTATACGTAGCTTTCCTGCATTTGCGTAGTTGCAATTTTTCATGGATTCTTTTTTGTGATCAAAAGCCGGTCAGAGACCGTATGTATGCAAATCATAGTAAGGACTGGCCGCTTGGCCTATCTTATATCCATGTCACTCAATTATGCCAACAATTCGTAAATCCGCTTCCATCTCCATTCGCCAACCAAGTGACAAACCATAAARGAGTTCCAATTCAAATTCAAATTCAATCCAAAATCGAAATCAATCGGTGTTTGTAGTTCAACTTCCGCCCCTCCGCCAATCGATTTGCTTGGCAAGGGATTGCCCTTGCTCTTCCATTCACTCATATTTTACTAATTTGCATACATTTTCACACGACGCGCGTGCGCTGGATGATGAGGTAGAGGCAAGGTTACCCTCCTCCTCGCTCGACGTTCGACACAGGTCGATTTGCATAACACTGACTGCTCGCTGGTATTGATCCTGTTCTTGTTTCTCTCTTTGTCATGCCGGCTGCCTGTTCGCCCGCTCTTGCTGGAGGCTGAATCACTGCGTCTGCGCCAAAATTATGCAAATCCCTCTGCATGCCAATATTTTACAACAATAATTTATGCGAACTACACCGAAAAGGATTCTCTGTGCGCATGCACAACGGATGTTACATGTCGTTTCGTTTGACGACCTTTTGCTAACGGTTTACTCTTGTTTCGCATTTTCGCAACGTTTTTTAATATGCAAATTTTTTTGCCGTTGCCTATGAAAACTTTTGCCATTTTAATTGTGTTTTTTTCGTGATTGTAATGCAGATTTTCTTCTTCGTTTGTAATTTAAAATATTTTATTTTTTGCATTTGAATGGCATTTCGATGCGAATTGCAGCTGTACGAAGAGTACTGCGCGCGTTTTCTGAGCCGTTCCCTAATTTTGATCGAATTGTAAAATCTTTTTAATAAATACAGGCTTTTATTTCATTGACTGTTGAATTTTATAGAATGTGAGAACCAAATCTGCCATGGACATGCCTACGTCCGATACTATTTTATATTCCTGTTTTGCACACCTATAAACCAAGTTACTAGGTACAATACTCTATTGCACTATGCTATATACATTATAAAATATTGTTTATTTGTTTAATCAGTTATTTATTTCATTAAATACAGGTAGTAAGGATAAAGCATGGTATAGCAAGAAGTTTATTTATATTGAAAAATAAATTTGAATGTTTGCTCCATAACTTAGTATAGGACCCGTAAAATTGGCAATTTTGTGAACTAGTAATATAATAGACTTCATTCAATAAATTACCCACTATTCTAATTTTTGCGACATTACATATTAAATATCATTGTTATGGAATTTGATCAAAACTCTCATTTTATTTTCATTGGATTTTACTTTACTCTACCATGGGAATTATTTTATTTCAATCTCAAATGAGAAATGTTCTCCTCTTATGGCATTCTTTTACATACATATCTCCAGAGGGGAAATTCCTCAACGACCGTTGGTGCTTGCAGTGACATATTTTTACCTAAAAAACTCGTTTTTTTCTTTGAAAATGTGCATTAATGCTGGCATTTTATTGGTCGGCATCAAAAAACAGCAGCAAACTCCAGCACAGTCGGACAACGACCATGGCTTCTTTTCCACGCAATTTTCACACAACAGATCCCAAGATAGACTAAGGGTTGCCCGCTCTTAGCCACCACCGGGTTGGCAACGTTACAAGGCTTGCCGTTTTTTAAGAGAGTGCTAGATCGGGGAGAGCCCAAAAGCGAGCAGTAGATCAGTTTTTTAAGAGAATCTCATGTTTTTTAAGCACAATTGAGAGAGGGTTGTTGCTGGACACTTTTACAAAATTTTTGCTATATTAGCGAGCAGTCGCGGAAGAGTTGAAACAGTTTGAGCTGAGCAGCTGAACTTCAAGTATCGCCATAGAAGTGCCACCAGTGTCTCTGATCGTGCTCAGCATCGAAAAAGCGTGCAATGAAAAATCTGAAAAAGTCTTGTAAATCGAGAACTTTTTAAGAAAAGAAAAGAAAAATCCACTTAATTCTGTGCTGTGCTACCAACATAAAGTGATAACAAAATGTCCAATCAAATGGAATTCATGATGCAGCTTTATATGATGAACTTGTTGCAACAACAACAACAGCAGCAGCAGCAGCAACAACAGCAACCGCAGCCACTGCAACAACAACTGTTGTCCAGCTTACTACACACACAGAAAGAGGATATCAGCAGCAGCACTTGCCTGCAACAACAGCAACAGCAAGAGCAACAGCAGCAACAGCAGTATCAGCACAAGACAAGAACGCAAAAACGAACAAATTCGCAAAACTCGAACTGTAGTAGTAGCCGTAGTTGTAGTCCCAATAGTAATTTGAATGCTTTGTCACCACAACAATATGATCAACATGCTACAACACTAACAACTCCCTCAACACCTAACAACAATACGAACACAAACCCAGGTTTGGCTTACCAGTTGCCGCAAATGTTGCTGCAAACATTACCTCTTTCTTTGCCTCCACTAACGCGTTTTATGCTGCAACAACAACAACAGCAGCAGCAGCAGCAACAATTGCTGACAACGGCGCCAACAACCCTGTTACTAACCCCCAACACGCCCAGCTCTCTGAAAAGTGAGCAGCTTACCAATAACTTTTTGCAATCCTCCACAGTGACATCGACGCCAAATGATCAAGCAGCAGCAACATTTGCAWCTGCAGCAGCAGCAGCTACTAATGTCCTTTCGGCAGTCAACGTCAAGTCTGAGCAGGATTTCGAAGATGAGGATGACAAACCACTGTCTGCCTTGAACAGTTGCCACTCCTCGGAGTTAATCAGCACCAACGATGCGAGCACCAGTGTCAGCACCGAGAAGCTGCTACAGATATCGGGCATACAACCGCTGGAGAGTACGAGCGCCACTGACAGCAACGACTCACCCAGCATGGTAAGTGTTAATTGATTGTAGTTTTTAAGAGTTCGGAAAGGATCTCTCTATAATTATTATTTTTATAACCCATAGCGCATAAATATTAATATTTACTAATGCCATTAGTGCTATCATTTAAGGCATAAATCTCCGTCTAATCATATTATTACTGATTCAATTCCGAGTCTATAAAAGCACATACTATTGCTTAATCATTAATGCTGAACCTTAGCTTTCGATTACTGACATAGATATAATTTGGTTTGGACATCTTTATTTCTAAATAAATACTCAATTCTCTTCTTGCCCTTCTGGTGTGAGATGTGTACTTTTTGTATGCATTTTATAAACTCCCACGCTGTCTGTAATTCGAGCGTGCTGTGTTGATAAAAATAAGCTAAATGAAACTTTGTAGCACTTGCATGCTTAATGTAAACAACAACGCCGCAATTCCAAGGAATACAAACAGCTGCTGTGTGGACAGCGCGTGGGCCTCGGCCTGCGCCCTGCAGCTGGCTGTTGCTGCTGGGCATCGGCACCGAGCAGTCTGATTTTTAGAAATATGTATTATGATTATTTAGTAATTCGTCGTCTCTGTTCTATGAAATGCAGTACACACCCGTTAAGCAGCCAGCGGACTCATCGTACAATGTCGTCACCAACATCGAAAATGAGAGCACTTTGAGCACGCCTCAGGGACAGAACAATTCGATGCTGACGCCGCCGCCATCGAGCGATCAGGGCAGGGGCATTGTCAGTCTGACCACAGCCAGCAGTCTGGATGCGTTTCTGCAGAACGAGGAGAATCTAAAGAATCTCCGCAAGGTATCCTCGTATTTAGAATGTGAGAATACACTCTGTCGGCAGGAGGCGTTGCGTGACCATTTCCACTGTTACGATGAGCCCTGCCAGGGAAAAATTCTCAGCAAGAAGGATGACATCATACGACATCTGAAGTGGCACAAGAAGCGCAAGGAGAGCCTCAAACTGGGGTTTGCCCGTTTCTCCTCCGCGGATGATTGTGCGCCCTCATATGGCGATGGATGCATCTACAACTGGAAGCAGACGCACTATCATTGTGTCTATGAGCACTGCCCCAAGGTTTATGTGAGTACTAGCGATGTGCAGATGCATGCCAACTTCCATCGCAAGGACTCGGAGATTGTGAACGAGGGCTTTCGACGCTTTCGTGCCCACGAAAATTGTCGCATCACGGATTGCCCCTTCTATGGCAAGAAGATATCACACTATCACTGCTGTCGTGAGGGCTGCAACCACACTTTCAAGAATAAGGCCGATATGGGTAAGACATGATTCAGATATATCAAAGAAAATGCGTCTTATGTATACTTGTATCTTTTTTCTATTTTGGTTCAAAAGACAAGCACAAGACGTATCATTTGAAAGATTACCAGCTGACGCAGGATGGCTTCAAGAAGATACTGAAAACAGAACAGTGTCCTTTCGATTCCTGCAAGTTCTCCACGGTCTGCAATCACATTCATTGCGTGCGTGAGAACTGCAACTATATCTTGCATTCGAGCAGCCAAATGATTAGTCACAAGCGCAAGCATGACCGCCAGGACGGCGAACAGGCGTATCAGCACATTAAGTCTAAACAGGACGACAATGTGTCGGAGGACAGAACCTCGCAGGAATCCACACCGGCTCCATCCAGTATGGCCGTTAGCCAGCCTGCCTATGCGAACAGCAATAGTTCAACCTCGACGCCACTCTCCTCCTTATCTGCGGAGCACTTCCTGGCACGCAAACGTGGTCGGCCGCCCAAGAAAATTGTAGGTCCATTCATGGTATTCTGTTAATCTGTATCGTTTTACTGATGACATTCTTTACTCTCTTGCAGCAACTGCCCGCAGATGTTGAGCAGTCAGAGGCAAAGCGAGTCAAGCTGGATGATCCGGGCAACAATCCGGCGCAGCCGGTTTCAACGGGTCCCTTGCAGACTTCAGTCAACAGCAATATGCTAAGCAGTGCGCTCTTCCCTAATTTTATGCCCAGCTTTACAGCAGGTGCCGCAGATGCCACGGCGCCAAATTTCCAGCTAACACATTTAATGGCTCTTTTCCAGCTACAGAATCCGCTTTTCTATCAGAATCTGTACCCAGGTGCGGCGGCTGCCAATATGGGCGCCGTGCCACAAAATCAGTCCATATTCAACAATTTGGCAGCCTTCGGCGCCGCAGCTGCTGCAGCAGCAGCGAGCGTGCATCAGCCGAAGAATGAGTTTAGCATTAAGCCAGAGTTCAAAGAGTAATTGGCAAAGTCGTTAGCACTTAACAGATTTCAGAAACAATAAAATTTCGGGAATATATGTATATATCTAGGTAGAATTAGTTACATAGGAGACTGATTGAATAGGAGAATTTCGCGATTAGACAGGCTTTAAGCAGGAATTTTAGCCAAGGAGTTCCGAATAACCTTTGACATGGCCAGGACGTGGCGTTCCCATCCCATTTCCCCTACAAAAGCCAACTCAGCTACATTTTAACTAGGGCATAAGCCCAACAAAATGTTGCTGAATTCGCTTTTGTTAATATGTGTTCCCTTTTTAACAAGATTTCTGCTTTTTACAGTTACTGAACAAAATAAATAAAATTTGAATTTAGTTTAACTAATTACTGTGATGTTTTGCATAGACCCAAAAATATGTTATCAATGTAAAAAATGTATTTTAAGCTATAGTGTTTCCGAAGCTTAGGAAATTTTTTTCAAATCAATGAAATGCATTACATAGATTTGTGATACTTTAATAAAATGAAATGAAATTAATTAAAAAAAAAAATAGATTTAAATATTGCACAGTAGAAAAATTCCACAGTTATAATACTTTCCAACAGGAAATTAAACTATTTAAATAAAATTAAATTTCCAAATATAGAAGTCTTTCACATATATATTTATATCTCTACTAGTAAAGTTTAGCTTCAACTGTAAATTTATATTTCGCCATAAAATAAAAAACATTTTGTATACCGATTAATAATTGCTATTCCATTTATTACTGTTTGGTTTCTTTAAGTCATTGGCGGAACACAAAATTAATTTTAGAAGAGCTCTGGACGCAATAAGAAAAAAAAAAAAAAAAAAAAAAAAAACATCCAGCTAAGCAACTTACTCATCAACGAAGCGTGTATCCATTTTTTCATATATAATTTCTTGATTTCGTTCTTTTATTCGCACATAACAACGTATATTTAAGCAATCAATATAGTTAAGTCGAAGAGCAGGAAGAGAGTTCGAAATGTACATAGCTACTATAGTGAACACATACACTCAAGAGTTATTGGAATTTTTTAAATATGCTGTTAGATGTTTGGGATTTTTGCCGTTTATAAGCAAATGCAAATAATATAATCATAAAAACAAGCATTTATTTCTTTATAGAAATTTAAGCACGTCTGTAATAATTAATTGACTAAAACTAAAAAAACATTAAATTAAACAAGTAAAGCTATTTAAACTCGACACACATTAAGTAAATATGAATTAAGAAAAACCTAAACACGCTATAGAGACCGAGAGTACTAAACAATAGGCTTATAATCATCCATATATATAGGTGATGATATATGGGACCTAAACATCCATTTGATTTACAATTTACGCTATCCAAAATCTATATATAATGGTTGTTGCAAAAGCATTTGTCCAATTACATGTATAAGTAATATATAAATATATAGAGCTCATATATATATTTGTATATACATATATATTTATGTATATAAGGTTTAGGTCATTTCGGGAGCGATATAACTATTACATATTTATTTATGGCAACCATTTGTGCGCAACCTGCAAAATAATTAAATTTCTTTTAGCATTTGTAGTTTTCTTTTTTGTATTGCATCTAAGCCGCAACTGAGGTTAACTGTTAAGCTTCATTTGTTTTCGTGAGGCATCTAAGCTGCTTAGGGATGGGTTTTCGGTAGAGGCCACGCAGCATCTTGTCCATCAATCAGAAGCGTTAACTGCGACCGGTGGCCGCTGCTGTTGGACCTGTTGTTGGTATCTCAAGCTCCACCGTTGGATCTGCGCTGCTCGGCGGCACGCCTGCCAGTGTAATCGCTCGCATATGATGTATGGGGCGTATGGACTTCAGCTGAGTGGTGCCCTTGAAACGAACATTAACATCGCCGCCCACCATACTAAGTGGATGCATGCCCGGTTCAGGCTCCCTGCCATCCTGCACACCCATGGCAGCAGTTGTGGTTAAGATTTGTTCGATTGGTGCCACTGTAGGAGCTGTTGTAATTGCAATGGCACCATAGCTCTGCCGCGTGGCTAACGGCGAAAGCGCTGTGGGCGTGGTCTTATACCCCATGCGACTAAAGATGCTTCCAGCACTGCTGTTGCTAATGGCGCTGTTGCTGCTTGCCGTACTGGGTGGACTCAGTGGTGTGCCAACACCCGAGTCCACCTCTAATGGACTTTTCATATTAGCTACAAACTTATCGACATGTTCCGGCAGCTTTAAATCATCTAGTTTCGTTTGCATCACGCTTCTTGCATTGGTATTGTCCAGCAGCCGATTGGGACGCGTTGGTGGTGTTGGCGAGACAGAATTATTATGGAATTCGGGATGGCCATTACTGTGTGTGTTACGCTGCTGCTGCAGTTGTTGTTGCTGGTGGCGCAGTTGCTCAAAAAAAGGTGTCTTCTCCTTCTTCTGCTTTTGGGGCGAACCATGTTCGTCTTTTTCGCTCAGCTCTTCGAGCACCTTTAGTGGAAACCCCAAGTGGCTATTGACCGAAACGGATTTTCCAATTTTACGCTCGGCAAAGATGGGCTTGCGTCGCTGTCGCTCCAGGTCATCTAGTTGCTGCAGCATTCGTCTCACCTCACTGGGCAATTCTAATTCCGGATTGTACTCCACCAGTTGCCCAATGTATCGGCCCAGGGTTTGTATTGTCAGTTCCAGCGACTGCACCTGTGTTTGCAGTGTCGATATTTGCGTTTGCTGTGAAGAACGCGTCATCTCCAGCTGTGCAATGGATGATTGAGCGAACTGAAAGGGCAAAAGACTATTAATACTTTACAAAAATTAATTACAATTTCAGGTACTCACCTGCAGCTGCTGCTCAAGATGCTGATTTAGCGACTTCTCTCTATTCAACAGATCCAGATGATGGTTTGTTGTAGTTATTTCCTCCTGCAACACGTTGTACTCCACATTGTACTCCGCTAGCTGCTTGCCAATGTCCAGCGAAAACACAATTTTTATAATTTGCTCCATGCAGTGTTCCTCAATTTTAGGCACCATCGATTTCAAATAATCCATTATCTCCTCAAAATTATTGCGTGCCAGTAGCTGTTCGTTGTGCACAGTGAGCAACGCAATAGCAAACTTAAAAATAACATCAGAGGACTCAAGGAAAACCAAATCAAAAACACGCGCTACAAAGCCCAATGGAAACTGTGAACTGAATACGGTAAGAATCCACGGCGCTGCATATAAAGTGGGCGAAACATCGTTCTGATCCAGCCACATATACAGATCGGGCAGATGATCCTTGACCAGACGGGACAGCTGATACAGCTGCAGCTGAAACTTTTTCATATCTGGCAGGTATTTGGTACGCATGTTGCGACAAAACATTAGGTGCTTCAGCAACTGAAAAGCGCTGGCTTCATCGCACTGGGTGACAAGAGTAAATATTAGTATATTATATAAAGAGACTTCATTAAGAATCTACGCACATGTAACAATAGCACACCACAAATAAATCCGAGACCTTGACAGTATCCCAATTCTGGATCAAGTATGGAGTATGCCTTCAGCAGATTAAACAGCGACAATTGACCTAGCCCAAGGGGATCCTTGTAAAATTGATGATTGGGAAAAGTGCGCCCCAGGTCAATAAATATCGCATGCTGATGTTCGGTCAACTGTTTAAGCAGCGTATGATACGGTGTGTTATAGTTTGGAAATCGTTTCGTATCCACTGGCGCCATGTTCATCGAATACTGTTCGGCCAAAAACGTCCACACGTCACCACGCTTTGACCGTGGCACTCCAGTACGTATAGCATGGCGCAGTACTTTGGGATCCTTTTTGTTGCCAATTTGCATAGAGTTTCGCTCAATGATTTGCTCCCAGCGTTCAATCAGCTGCTTGTCGCATGGTACAATCTCCTCATAGTCAAGCTTGATGCGCTTTAGCTCGTTCTCATTCTGGCGTGCCTGCAGCATGGCATTCTCCGTTTCCATGCGGTTCAGCATAATTGTCTGTCTAATAGCCGTGCGCCACAGCTCTCGCAGCTCGGCTGCATCGCGTTTGCCACGCTTTACAGCTGTAAAAGAATATCAGAATATCAGATTGAAAAGTGGACAATTTTTAAGACCGGACTAACGTTTGCGCATGGGCGACAGAAATTCGGTGGGCGTCTCGTTATCCAAAGCCTTGGACGGAGTAACTACACTGTTCAGTATAGCCTGTCGCCATGACCCCTGATGTGTCTCAGCGTCCTTAGGACTGTTACCCACTTTAATGAAGCTGCGAGCAAGGACTCTTATTAATTATACGACCTTCTCAAGCTTATAGTGTTCAAGTTGACATAGCTCGGATTTACTTACATGTCCATCATTGGGCTTTTAAGGTGATCAGCACTTGGTTTATTGCTGGGGCTGGCGCCTACAGTGCTCGCTCGAGATCTGAAGTTCGGGAGCGAGCTGTCGGTGCCCTGTTGCTCTGCAGATCCTTCACGTATTTCGTGCAAATTGTGTGTTGGAAGAGATATGTCGTCCTTGGAGGGTTTTCGTTTGAGCAGGTTATCAAATGAGTTTGTCAGCGATCGTTTCGCCTTCATGAAGATGGTGCTGCCGCCCAAATACTGATTAAGAAATTCAGAACGGTTCTCAGCGGTATCATGAACATGTCGTTGCTGCCGCGACTCGCAATGTGCCCGTAACAGCATCATGAGGAACTGGTTCTGTTCAGAGACAGAGCAGTTTGTCTTCTCAGATCCATAGTACTTGGCGCAAACCATATCGTACTCATCAGCGCTCAGCGTGGCAATGTGACGCCAAATGGCGGTCTGCGTTTTCTTTTCGGAAAGCCCCTCCACATCGGTGCAGAGCTTATGATACCAGAGCATTGGGCAATGCTCGCAGCTGAAGATCTGGGTCTCATGTTTCTTCTTTTGCTCGGCGCAGGTATCAAAGGCTTGGGCAATGGCGGCTACGATGTCATCACACACGTGCTCTGACTGGCACTTAAACACATAGCCAATGTAGCCTTCGCTGTTCAGCTCACGGCAGATGATGCCGAAGTGATCCACCGCTTTCTGGCCGTGCACACAGCTGGCCACATCTTTGAAGTCCTTGTAGAGCAACACCTGCTTGCGATCCGGTGAGATGAGTCTCAAGTCGCTGCGACCCACCAAGAAGACCATCGTGCGATTCTGTTCAGCATAGGGTGGTATGCAACCCTGCGAAGCAGAACGATCTCTCATCTTGGGGATACTGTAATACGAATTTAAAGCAGAAGATAAGCTAGGTATCTATTTGATATGTGTATATTTGGAAAGCAAGCAAGCCATGAAAATGTATGGACAAATATAACGAAACAATAAACATAGGCAAACAAATACTATCAGGCAACAGAATTCGA